TTGTTGGGGGCAATATGCTGACTCTGTAAACCGCTTAGAGAGGGCTGAAAGCCCTATGAAGCGGTATATAAGCCTAACTATTGCTATTGCTATTGTTATTCATCTATAGTAGACAAAAGATGAATAGCCAGTCCTAAAAGATGACTATTAGACCCCCACGCTCTAGATGCTGACTAAAGTACCAGTTCTGGCATTGTGTGCCCATCCTACCTTTGTGTGTGTGTGTGTGTAGATTCAAAGCAATGCAAGAATGCAAGCCAACCTGATAGTAGAAATATTCAGATCAAGAACCGATGTTTTGATAATGAATCTCAGTCTTCTCATCTGATTTTAAGTGGACTAGAAATTACATATTGCACATCAACAACAATGCAATACATTTTTCCCTTTCAGACTAAAATATCAGGGGAAATAATCAGTTCAGAGTATTCTTATCTATTTCATGTTCAAACCCAATCATCATCTCCATTAGAGGAGCAGAAGTAAAGCTATTCAATCATTTAGAATTGCTACCCTCTTGTTCTCATTCTTTTTCACTGGAGTTTCAGAGGCTGGGATAAAACCTACTAATTGGCATTTTCAGCCCACTTTGATTGATCTGAACTTAAACAATTCTCCCACAGGAATACTGTTTATGAATTGTACCTACCGATTCATGTCTCAGATAATAAAACTATTTGGCAAATATTAAGCTTGGTAGAGGCTACCCTCCATCCCTTTTCCTCTGTAAAGCACTGCTGTCCCAACATACAATTGTTGTATTGTGGTACTATGTGAATAAATATTGTGTAGCGTTAACCGCATTTATGCCACTATCAAATGCCATTCCCTCAGCATTGAAACTGTGGGCGAAATTGGAGATGTTTGAAAGATCATTTGGGTTTATGAGGCTTGTATGAGCCAAATGCCTAGTGGGAGGCCATGCAAACCTGTTCAGCTATTAAAACTAAATGTTTGTTGGTGATTCATTGCTCAGCTGTGTATGTGCATTGAAAATTAAGCAGCTCTGAACAGAATGCCTCATTAATTTTCCTTGTGGTCAAGGATGTCAAAAAAGCCAAGATGGTAGCCATAATTCTGCAATCAAAGCGTGATCTCCATGTTTTATCTGCATTGTCCCTGCCTGTGGTCAAAGAAGGATATTGCAGGATAATCACAAATGTCCTGCTTTCTTTTTCCTATTATGTCAAGCGATGTTGACAGTGAATCTTTGAGAAATTAGCTGTATGAATTCAGGGGCGCTGCTTCTAGATTACCCGTGCCACTGCTGGATTGGAACACACATAACTCATCGGCATAGGGAAGAAAATAATAGGAAAAAAAATATTGATGGAAAAATAGGTTGGAGACTTGTGTTGTGGCCATATGAGCAAATCATAGGAAACTCTACCCTACCTCTCCCTTCCATCCAGGTTTACATGGCTGCTAGAATTGAAGAAGGTTCTATTACTTCTCCTTACAAATGAAGGCTCTCAACAAGACCTAAAGCCCATTTCTTGAATGTGTTCAATTACGAAGTTTGTTGTGGTTACACTTTTTTTAATAGCAACGATACCAACACATGATTTAAAAAAAAGTGTGGCTATCAACCATTCAAGGTAATCTAAGTCAGGAAACAGATTCCACAGCGATTACTGGAACTTTACAGCAATAGCATTAGCACTTAGATAGTGCTTTACAGGACTCTCTAAGAGGTTTACAATGTCTTGACCCCAACAACCTGGGTCCTCATTTAAGAGACCTCAGAAGAATGGAAGGCTGTGTTGACCTTGAGCCCTCGAACTCCTGGCTGTGGGCAGAGTTAGCCTGCAATACAGCATTCTAACCACTGGGCCACCATGCCTCTTTTATTTTGTTGCTACAGGCTTTATTTATTGAATTTGAAAGCCTGACAGAGATTTCCCCTCCCTCCCTATTTAAACCAAGGTGAATCCAAGTGAGGCAATCTTGAGGTTCTTACTCACTCCTTCTCTTTAGAACTAAGCTGGTGTTTATGTAAGAGCTGTAGAACACCTTCCTCGAGGCCCTCTCCCTACATCTCTACACTTCCTACACTCTACAGAGGTCATCACTATCCTCTGGATGACATTGGAGTACAAAATCTGGATTAGATGCACCTTCTGTCTGATCCATCAGGGTTCTTCTTATATCCTTATGTGTGCCATTACTGAGAGTTGGAAGATGGAAAGTCACAAAGAAAACTCTGTAGTGAATAATTTTGATTTACTGCATTGAAAAGTCTTTGCACTGGACTTTATAATTCAAACATAAACTAGAAAAGAATGCACAGGTTTGCTACCCAGAAAAACACATGTGGCCATTATAATGACATTTTGCACCTGATTTTTATTCAGTTTTTCTGGGGAGAGAAGAATTTGCTTTTGTATCAACTTTGGGATGGAAATGCTATTTATTTGAATAAATGAATGTAAGTATAAACATAAAACTTGCTTGTGTAGAATCTTGCTTGTCATGGACTAAGTGTGTTGGGTTCCTGTAATTGCTTTGATTTCTTCCTTCCTTCCTTTCTTGCTTGCTTTTCGTGCCTTCAAATCAATTTTGACTCCTGGCAATTGCCCCGAGAAGTCAATTTTCTTGACCAGATGTTTCAGAATTGATTTGCCATTGTCTCCTTCCTAAAACTGAGAGACTATAACTAATCGCCCACCTGGCTTTGCACCTAAGGCAGGGGTCGGCAACCTTAAACACTCAAAGAGCCACAAAGGTCCTAACTGAAAGCCCCCCGTTCAATTCTGGAGCCAACCAGAAGTCTGATTCCCCCACCATAGAGTCTTCTCATAGTGCGGCATCCTTTTCCCTTTACCTGTCCTAACCAAAAGCCCTATCAATAGTGGAGCCAACCAGCAACAGGGAGCCACAGCGGAAGGATGAAAGAGCCACATGCGGCTCCAGAGCCGTGGGTTGCTGACTGCTGGTCTAAGGCAAGACTAAAACTCCTGGTCTCTCAGTTTCTAAGCTGGTACCTTACCACTACATCAGATTGGCTATCTTACTTAGGGTTGGGTGTCTGACAGATGATGCCTAGATGGCAGCAAATGTATGTAGAAACTTCTAATTCATCCTGATTTTTGCAGTCCATATGCGTATCTTATTACAGTTTCTGGCTTCCAGATGTTTAGTTGAATGACTGCCATTTAAGAAGTTTCATTCTTCCCTTTCCTATGTGGTTTCTATGAGTATGTGGGCAACCCACAAAGACCACAACTGGACACAACAAAGGTGAGTGTATTTCAGCATAACAAAGAGTTTAATTCCAAAATAATGTGTGATTGATAACCAGGCCATATGGGCTAATGTCTGATTTATTTTGGAGCTTTAATATAGGTGTATGGCATGGTGCTGATGCAAACAGTATCAGGTGAAGGGATACAGCAAGCCGTACATGTTCTCAGTGATACATTCAGAAATAAGATGACTCACAAGTCAAAAAAGATGTGAATTTCCCCCTAAGGCTCCTAAGTACATTGTTTTCAATATTTGTAGTACAATTTTACATTTGTCTCCTTGCGCTAAGTCTTTTGGTTTTCAAAGGGTCTTACGCCCAGCAAAGCGTATATAGGTAGGCTTTGTTTACATACCACAACTGGGACTAACAACTTGGCCATTGGGCAAAGTGGACAATAAGTGGAACTGTGACTATGCTTACAATCTTACTTTTGCTTTCTTTCGCTTTACAGATTTGCAAAGGTCAATCAACCATAAAGTTACTTTTTCATCACAGTCATTCCTTTTGAATGGTGGCTAAACAAGGCAATTTGTTAACTAAGGATGACCCATACAGAATTGCAGCCTTGGTTAACTACATTTTTCCAACTGCTCATTTCTCCTGGGATCCTGAGGAATTTAGCCCATCAACATGTTAGAATAAGGATAAACATGCGTCCATCCTTGATGCATTGTTCTGTGGAAGATAACCCTGGAAAAACTGTGGCACGAACTCAAACTTCACCTTTGCTGTATAGACAGATCTAAACCAAGAAACAAGTTTGTTCATCCTGCCCCAGGGATTTCTAGCGGTTTCTTATAGCAGAAACTGAGTTCAGGTATGTGCAAGTAGGTATGGCATTTCCTTTAGAGATAGGATGACTATTGCAGAATGGAATCTTATATACCTACACTGGGGGAGGAGGGGGCTTCTGAGACAATATGTATAGGATTGCACTATAAGTTAGCAGGGAAGGGAACATACAAATATTCAATGTGTCCTTAACATGTGGGATATATTTCTGTGAAATAAGGCACGTCTGATAAATGAGCTGGTCCCATAATAGAAAATAAGCAAAGGGCTAAAGGTATCATAACATACTATCAAACGGCATCCATCCATTTAACGGTGTGGAAATAGTTAGGTGCATTCTGTTGCAGAGTCATCGTAGTAGAAGTCACAGCTGCTATTTACACACAGAGTCTAAAGACACAGAGAAAAAATTTACACTGTCAATATTTAGAGGCCTCGTGGCCTGCCTTTTTACCAATGCTTCACTTAAGGAAAAATGGGACTTTGATCCCGGAATAAAATAGGAAGCTAGAATTCTTGAGACTACTTTCATGTTTTTCGTTTCCTGGACCAAGCTTCGCTTTTCCTTCTACAAGCTGTGAAAGCAGCAGTAGTGATTTCCTAGGTCAAGGAGAGAAAAACTGCCTTAATAGCTTCTCGATCTCTCTTTTGAACACCTTCTCTTACACTTGACATACCGCATTTCCCTCATCTTGCTAACTAAAGATCTCCCCAAATGGCTGAGACACAGCCTTCTCTCTGCCACAAGAGGTATAAAAACAAAGCTCAACTGTTTTGCTTTTATGCTCTGCATTCTCTGGGTTTATTTTCCTCTTGCTCTTGCAATTGGCATCATGAAGCCCTAGAGGGCACCATTGGCCCCTTTTCTTGTCATCTTCTCTCCCACCCCCTCCCTTTCTGTTTCTCTAAAGGACATGTTGGCTGATCTCCTAATGCTATCTGAGAATGACACCTTGATGTTACCATGTGTTCCCTGCCTTCTGGATGAAATAGATCGCTTTGGCTTGACCATCACACCGGTGTCCTGGTGGCAGGGTTCAGTGTGCAATTCTCTCCTCTCCCTTGCCATTTCTCAGGAGAAAGTGCAGTAGGAGCAAAGTAAAAGAAACAAGCAGTGCCAGTGTACCAACTATTTTGTAGCTGGCTGGTTGTTTTTGCATCTTTCTTTGAATTCTTCCATTCTACTTAGTCAAGGTTGAAGATGGGTCTTTCCAGAACCTGCATTTTGCTCTGTGATCAATGCATCTGTTCTGTTGCCATCAGTAATCTACAAGATGGAAGGGAAGAAGTCTAGATGTGAGTTGGCTAGCTGCTTCTACCATGGGTTGAGAAGAGTAAGGGCACTAAGACTGAAGGACTTATATAAGACTTCCATGCAACAATGTCCCCTTAATATGTGCACATATGGACCATAGGCTTGCCAAGCCCATGATTATTTACAAAGATCTTCCTCAACCATGTCCCTTTTAACATGAGGTGGTTGCAAGTTGGAAGAGTTGAGGTCCAACACGTCAGAAGGCAATGTGCTGGGGAAGAACCTCAGAGACTGATGGTTGCTCTCTAGAACTTCAGACTGGTCTCTTTCACAGCCTGAACTGCAAATGCCAGGACTGAATTTACTGCAAGCTGAACATTTCTACTCTATCAATAATTTCTCCCTTTACATATTCCATATTTCTGAAAATATTTGGCATAGCAATCCCATTTTGTTTCTGCTTCTTTTACTCTTTACTCTATATATCATGTAGAGTAAGCCTGATGGCCTTGAGTTTCAGGAGACTTCAGCAGCATGGCTCGGCCAGCTCGGCCCCAGTGTCCCACTTCTCCTCACCCCTAAAAGGAAAATGCCAAAATGCTCCTGTGGAGAAGTTATACTGCTGAAGCAGATACAATATAAGGGCTATTTGGCAAGCTTGGCTGAGTTTATGCTGGTATGTTTCCAAGGTACCCACAGTTTGGAGCCTCCTCCATCTGATCTCCTACATAAGCTATGCATGATCAGAAGAAAACAAAGATGGGGGTGGCCCCGATTATTCATTTCTGGCTCCGTTTGAATTAATATCAAATAAATGTTCTCCTCTTTAAAGGTTACAGGATAAAAATAGAGGGCGACTGCTGAATCAAGGGCAAGTAGGGAAACACCTGATACGATCTGGTCCTTGCCAAGGCCAGCTGATGTATTAGCTAGATGACACCCTATCACACAGCAGAGGAGCTAGAGAGAAAATGGGCAAGACATAGGGGGCCAGAACTGAGAGGTAAGGGGAAACCATGGGAGGAGGACATTTTGCACACACAGGGCTCACTTTACTCACATTGGCTAGACTCCAGATCACAGAACATATTGCCTGGAATTCTTTAGTTAACGCCATCTGAGCCTATGGACACAGATACTGCAGACCAACCTCCTATTCTTTTCCTATGGCTAGAGAAGGCAGGATAAGCATGGGACAATCATGCGATGGTGGCGCTGTGGTTAAATGCAGCACTGCAGGCTACTTCAGCTGACTGCAGTTCGGCTATTCAAATCTCACCAGCTCAGGGTTGACTCAGCTTTCCATCCTTCTGAGGTGGGTAAAATGAGGACCCGGATTGTTGGGGGCAATACGCTGACTCTGTAAACCGCTTAGAGAGGGCTGAAAGCCCTATGAAGCGGTATATAAGTCTAACTGCTATTGCTACTGCTATTGCTATGCGGTGAAATCTGTCTGAACTATCCTCTCCTCTGCCTTTTCTCTTGACTTGTCCAAATCATTTTGTTCAATGGGAAGAGATCTATTTTCCCAGTCACCCGGCTCCAGCCAACCACTTCCAGGACAGATACTTCTACTCTGCAGGATTATGGCAAGGTGCAGCACAGAATAGGTTATTGTGCACTCAAACTGGGCTCACACATCAACCACAGACACTGGTTTGTGGCTGAAAGTAATGAATGGAGCCAGTCAAAGAGACCTATTGTAAGTCTGAAAAGAGAAAAGTGCATGCATATGCATGCCTTACACTTCAGGAAGTCCTTCATTCTAGATGCCGAACAATAATGATGAGAGGAGGTGTGTTTTTCTTTGCTGCTCAGCAGAGGTAGATCAGAAGTTTCGTGGGGCCACACAGATGGTGTAAATAGATAGATGCTGCTACCAGACACAGTACTATGCCTTGTAGATGTTGCTATGAGTCGCAGTACTGGAGGATAAAGCAAAGAGGAAAAATGGAAGGGAATTTAGCCTCTTGGGTTTGTCTCCTATTTACTCTGATAGGCAGTCCTTCTTAGTAGATTGCAAGGATGGGGGCCTGAGCTAGTTGATCCATACAGAATCATCCACCTGCCTGGCTTTGGGTATATCTTGGCACCTTTGTGCGTTTTAGATAACAGCTCCTCACTTTTCCTTTCCTAGTGTGGAATGTTATTCTGAATGCAAATTTCTCCCACCTGAGTAGGGATACTACTTCCGCCTTTGTGTTCTGTCCTGCATGTCTAGAGGCTGAGATACAGGGTGAAAATACAAGTGACCAATGAAGTTTCTGATAGGTGGCTGTGTTAGGGAACAGCTCTGTTGAGCTTCCCTACCGTTGGATATAACTAACTTTGCTCCTGATCCTCCACTTAGAGGTGGAGCTCACTTCTCCATCTGTTGTTTCCAACCGTTATGCAAGAAGCACCTGAAGGCAACTTTCTCCAGGTGCTGAAAAAAGAGTTGTCAGAAGAGGCATTATTTGGGGCTTATTAACCAATCTCCTCTCCAGAGGGACATCTTGGATAGCTTTGCCTCCCAGATATCTGGTAAACTAGAAAGCAATAGAAGAGATCAGAAGACCTCTCTCCTGGTGACTGGCAGTACCAGAACCATTGCTCACTGGGCATTCAGTCCTGAAATCATGGCAAGAGTTCTGAGGTCATTTGGGTACACTCTGGGAACAGGCCTCCATTGCTGCATGTTAACTGGAAACCCATGTGGATCCTTACTGTCACAGTCCCAGGCTGGCTAGCTTTGGTGGCATTTCCAGAAAGCTTGGAAGTTCCTACGTTTCATATTCCTACGTGGTCTCTTCTAATGCGGATGTGGGAGTACTTGGATTGTAGCTTGAATCAGTCCTTCATCCTCTTGTAATTCAGCTGCAATAGTCCAGAGAACAAAAAGGCTTTCAAACAACCTTGTTTCATTTCATTTGATTCATATAAAGTCAATCTATATGTTTGGAGGAAAAGTACGCTGTGCAGATGAAGCACCACCACCAACTTCTGAATGGGCTTCTGGCTCATTTTTTTTTAATCCCCGTTTTCTTTTTCTTCCCTCAGGACGTTGGAGTGGAAGCCAACTGAAGAGTAGCTCCATCAAAGTAGAGCTAAATCAATGGCAATTGTTTTATGTGAAACATGGACTTAATTGTTTTAAGTGGAACATGGAGTTAAGGCTGGCTTTCCTCTCTTACTGTCCCCTCACTAAGAGTCATCAAGGATTCTCTCAAGGGCTCTGTGTCCTCCTGCCGGATATTTCTCAGAGGGGACACAAGCAGTCAGATGCGTCTTAAACTTCCCCAAGCAAAGAAATCATCGTGTCACCAGTCCAGCTGAGAAAGAGAAAGCAAAACCTGGGAAAGTCAAGCATGTCATCCAAGAGAGAGGGAGGAGGAAGCTAACAAAGTTCCTGTGGAAATGGATGTCCTGCAGGAATAGAAGCTGAATCACACTTCTCCATTGCATGAGAAATGTTTCTCATAAATTCTCTTCTTCAAAGTCCCCAAGAAGTGGCAAACTTGGAGAGAAGGTGTTACACATCTTTGCAGATGAACATCTTCCTCCTAAAACTTAACTAGGTTGGCAGGATTAAGCATGTATGGACCTGCACAAGTATTTTGGCAACAGTTTTCACAACCTTTGTTTTTTGGGTTCATGTCTCTTGGCCCATGTTTAAGAGGTACAAGATGCTTCTGATGCGAGGCTACCCCGTTTCAGCCTCAGGCTGCCGTTCCAGCCTCGTGGACAAATATTGAAGCTGCGGATGCTAGGTGACTTGACCCCAGAGCAGTCAGAGTCCACGGATGCCTCTGAGTTGGTGGGGGACATGGAAGTGGCGCGCTTCACTGGGGACCATGTTGTCATCATGGGACTTTGGGGAGTGGGAGAAGAAGCATCCAGGTTTTTTGGGCTGCTATATGATATCCCACTGTTGTTTGCTGGCAATGTGAAGGCCTTATGGCTGCCCACGATTGTGGGTTTTTGAAGTGGCTCTGGATGCTGGTGTGATTCCGAATGAGCACCCATTATACTTGGGCCATTATGGTTTGTTGAGACAAAGAACTGGGACGCTCCAGTTCTAGTAGGCAGCGTGAAGCATTTGTTTCCATTCATCCTCCCTGCTTTTGGTGACTGTAGTGGACTTGGAGATTTGATGCCTAGCAACCTGGGGCTGTTGCTTGATGATGCACTAGCCTGCGATGGGGCAGCTGAGACTGGGAGGGACACACGTCTGTAGCCATCCATTCTTGTTGGTTTGGGTGACTGAATTGGGCTCAGAGTATGAGTACTTCTGTTCTTAGGGCTTCCACCAGTGGATGACACATTGGGGCAAGTGACAGGTGGCGTGAAGGGCCTGAAGTTTTCTACTCCGGTAAGTTTGGGAGAAGAGCTCTTCCTCCGGGCAGCATTTATGATATTTCTTGCCAACAGCACCTGCATCTGTCGGCTGGACTTTTGGTCAATCTCCTGTCGAAATGGGGACAGAGACCTTTCGCTCCAGGATGGAGACATGGGAGGAGGTGGAGTCATAACATGGGCTGCTCGAAAGGCTTCGACAAGCCCATCCTCAGATTCTGGAGTTTGGGCTGGACTCATCCAGCCCTCTATGCTGCTGGATGATCGACTTATCGGCTGTGGAGTCCAAGTTGGGGAGGCAGGCAGGGATGTTTTTCTTTCCTGAAATAGAAAGAGGAATAATTTTTAGCATTCTGTTCCTCTATGACCCTTCAGATTGTGCTTACCTGCAGAAGGCCAGGTCTGGCTGTGCACTGTAAGAGAAATTAAGGTGCAGAGACCAGTATGCTCCCTGCATTTCTTTTCTGGCTATATCCATTCCTCCTCAGATGACTTGGGGTGATCTCCTTATGCTCCAATTACTCCATGAAAATATCCTGATACCACTTTACGAGTGCTCTTTATCTGAGAACAGTGTGATTGGAAAAGATTTGGAAAGACAACATGGAGAGAAGGACTTCCAACTTTCACCTGGCTTCCCCATTGACTTTGCTTGTGGGAAGTTGGCAGGAAAGTTTGTGGATAGTGACGATGTGATAGTAAGACGGTGCAAAGGCCATAAATACAACATCTGGTAATAACTGCTTTTGTTCAGTGCTATCATCAGTTCAAACATGGCTTAATGTAAGGGGGCCTCCAGAGCCTGGGAAGGACAAAAACGCCTTCCCCCCACCGTGATGCAGGAGGCTGACTAGGCCATACCCACCCAGCAAAAATTTTTGCTAAAAATTTTGAAGCCCATCCCTCGCCTGCCAATTCCTGTAAAGCATTTCATTATTTTTCTGGCGGTTTTGTGGCTTCAAGTCAGGCCTGACACCTGGCCACTGCCTGAACAGGTCCCTACAGTTTTCTTTGCACTGTTTTTCAGAAGTGATTTGCTGTTGCCTGTGAGTGAGAGAGACTGGCCCAAGGTGGCATTGTATCCTAAACCCAAACTACAACTCACAATTCCCTGGTTTCTAATCCAGTGTCTTTTAAGTGCTACAGCAAACTGGCTCTGTTCTACAAGAATGCTAATCGCTAAATAACGACATGCAATGTGGCTATGAAAACAAGAGGGCTTGTGTAAAAAAAAAATCGAGCGTAGAAAGCAGGTGGAAGTAAAGACATGAAACAGGAGAATCTCTACAAAACACAGAATGAATAGAAAAATTTAGGACGTTGCTTGAAATTTCCAAAGAAGTGAAATTCCTCTATCAGCAAAACATGAGGCTGAAGGATAGGAGGATGTAAGAAACAGAGGGGAAAGGAATGTCAGAAACTGACATTGAAAACACGGGTCACTCATCTCTACTCCGTGGTTTTCTACTATTATTTCCTTCTTTTACAGTATCTTTCAACTCATGTTTTAGAAGACAAAACCATGTCAATACAGGACTATACCCTGATGGTCTTCCTGAGTTACATTTCATCAATTTCCTATCTTTCTCCCAAATGTGAGTCTCATTGCTGAAATAGGCATGATAATAAAGACCATAATGTATGTTTTAATGGGAAGGCTTAGCAGAACAGAATATTCTAGAAAAAGGATGGGAAGCTGCCAGAAACAGAAGTAATTGAGATTTATTGAAGCATCCAAGCACAGGGGGCTGCGGCTATAAGAAGAAAACTAAACATGTGCAGTACAGCACAACACAAATCCCACTGCCGTGTAGTTGCAACCCAATTTCTGACAAAACGACCAGAAGTCATTGTATCTGCATTTGACATGCTGCATGATTTCATCAATCTTTCACCCCCACTGACCGCATTCAGGTTAGCATTAATGGAAGTGGTTTGTGTTATGATTGGTGTTAAGCCAAGAGCTGGAGGGCAGCTTTCTATTGACATTAATGCACAAAGGTAACCATTCACATACAACTTTTCTGAGGATAATTTCTCCAGATGTATTTCTATTGGTGGAATCCTAAAGTTGAAATTATTTCAGATTAACTGAGGTTTCCCAGACTAGTTGGACAATCTGGATTGCCCAGGGAAGGAAGGAAGGAATTAATTTAATGCAAGAGATTTTCCTTGAATGATTTTCCTTCTCTTGCATTAAATTAATTCCTTCCTTCCTTCCCTCCCTCCTTCCTTCCTTCTTCCCTTCCCTCCTTCCTTTCTTCTTTCCTCCCTCCTTCCCTTCCTCCCTCCCACCCTCCTCCCTTCCCTCCCTCCTTCCTTCCCTTCTTCCTTCCTTTTTCCTTCTCTCCCCCCTCCCACCCTTCCTTCTCATTCAACTGTCCAAATTTTGTAGCATCCCTCCTGTGCTCTTCATAGCTCCCAAATGGCCTCTTGGTAGTGGAAATGCTGACATGAAGGTATCAATGGCTTGCTAATTCTTTTGTGCCAAGGATGATTGAACTTTAGTTCACTATTTGTACCTCCACACACACACACCTACACATACAGACACATGCACACCCACACCCCTGAACCTCTGTATATCAGGAAATAACCATTAGGGGTGAATGCTGCTGTTTCCCTTGCTTCCAGCATCCTATTGTCTAGGAAGCCTCTTCTCTGCCTCTCTGAAAACTGTTGCTGCAGGTTTTCAAGAGTGGAGAGGAAATTTAGTCCCTTGTTAAATGGAACATCCAGATAGGAAGTACCTGTCTCATGGAAAACATGCCTCTGTCAGTTTTCAGCAAAATAATTCGTGTATTTTCAGTGTTCAATATTATGTGAAATTCCTAAGCACTGGTTAAACACTGTAAAAATTGACCTTTCTGTAGAATGTCTTTGACAATAATTAAACCAAAGTGAGCTATCCTGCCTAAGACTATGGCCATTGCAGTTTAACACATCTGGAGAGCTCCCAATTGAAGAAGACATCCATGTTTTTCTCAGTAGCACTAGTGGTACATTTTTGCTTGCTGTTTTTAAGGCATGCCTTGAACTCTATAGTAAAAAAAAACAAGTGTCAACACTTCACAGGTGGACCATTAGAAATGGATTTCTAGCTCTGAGACCCAACCACAACTATGATGTGGTATTTGACACCATGGGCACCTTCTGTCAAATACACATCCATAGAGTGGATCTATACCAGTAGGTTGTGAAGTAGTTTTCTGTACTCAGACTGAGAGGTTTCTTCCCTTAACCTTCCCATTTATTATTTGTGAAGCCCACATACAAAAACTTACACCTTGTTCATTTATATCAAACTTCGTAGCCTTGTAGAATATACCAGTTAAAGGGTATTTGAGAAACTGTGACCCTTTGGGTTTTGCTGAACTACAACTCCCATGAGCCCCAGCATCAGTGTATATAATTGAATGTGTGGATGATTTTGTGGGATGAAAGGAAGAGATGTTTCATAGGAAACAATGAGAAGAGAAGCACAAGCCTCCAATGGATTAATGGTCACAGGAAGGAAGGCTCTGCATTAATTGTTCAGGCAGTTAAAAGTGACAGTGTAAAGTTTGTACCTTCAGAATTGCAAGATTCTCATGATGTAGCCTTACAATAAAGCAGAATTAGCTCTGATTCTAGATTCAAAATCTGTCCTTCCTTCGAGATGTTTTGCTGACTGAAGCATAGAATAACTGGTGCCCATTTCTCCCCTGCTAAGGCCAACACTTGAAGAACACTTCAGGTGCATAAACTTCCTGGCAGTTCTCTCTCTTCCACGACTTGCCTAAAGCAATAAATTCACCTGGCTGCATCCTTCTCCTTAGTCTTTCATGGTTCCCTCCTTCCTTTGCTGCCTCTTTTGATGGCAATCGCGCTGGTGGAATGATATAACCTGGCTTTCCTGAGCCTAGACATCCTCAAGTTAAGCGGATTTCAACCCACACACTTTTCAACAGTGGCAGGGCTGGCTGGGAATTTGGAAAATGGTCAATGTATCTAGGCTGTGACCGAAACTGAAACTATCAAAGTGAGCCAAAGCACTTGAGTATCTCAAACATTACTCTGGACCAACATTTCTCAATCCCAGCAGTTTTGCAATGAAAGCATGCTGGCTGGAGAATTCTGTAAATTAAATTCCATGCTTTTTGAAGTTGCTGAGGTTGAGAAACATTGCTCTAGGCCTATCTTCATGGGTTGAACTGTACCTTCCACATTCCTAGATACTAGGGCCAAAACCTGTAAGGCACAAACTTGAGGAAAACTACTGGACTTTATGGCCTGGGGAGGATGGGAACAAGCGTCCAAAATTTTGGAAGGATTCACAATTGATATTCAGTCATCCAGGCAACCATCCTACATTCCCTAGATGACTTTTCTCAATTGTTCCACTAATTAAGTTAATACGGTCATGAAGAAGATTAAAAAAATCTTCTTGGGTAAAATGTTCACTTTACAACTGTTGTTTTCCTTTGGTAGAAATCTTTCCTCCAACTTTCTTTACATTTCAATGAAGTGAGGAATACAACAAGTTTAATGCCCTCTCATTTTGAAATCTTCTTTAGCTGTGGTGGAAAAACTTTCCTTTCCTTTCTCCTTTTTCCCTTCCTTTCCTTTTCCTTTCCCTTTTCTTCTCCTTCTCAATGAAAGACAATCATGTAAGTTCTATCTGCCTGGAGTCTGTTTGACTCATCTCTGCTTTGACTCTCAAGTTTGAAGGAGAAAAATTGCAGTTGCCAAGTTAGCCCTTTGATACTATTTCTCTAATATATGGTAAGGTAAAGGTAAAGTAAAGGTTCCCCTCGCACATATGTCGTTCTTGACTCTAGGGTGTGGTGCTCATCTCCATTTCAAAGCCAAAGAACCAGCGCTGTCCGAAGATGTCATGAGGCTGGTATGACTAAATGCTGAAGGTGCATGGAACAATTACCTTCCCATCAAAGGTGGTTCCTATTTTTCTACTTGCACTTTTTACGCGCTTTCAAATTGCTAGGTTGGCAGAAGCTGGGGCAAGTAATGGTCGCTCACTCTGTTACGCGGCAATAGGGATTCAAACCGCCAAACTGCCGACCTTTTTGATCGACCAGCTCAGCATCTTAGCCACTGAGCCACTGCGTCCCAATAATATACGGTACATCAATGCTATTCATGGATAGATGGCTCTATCAGCTTGCCCTGCATGAAGGATTTACCAAGGCAGGTGTTTTTCTTGCAGGGATAAATGAAGAAAAGGGAGAAAAACTGTTGCTGCTCCTTGATTAACCAGCAGTTATGTGGGATTGAATTGGGAATGTCTGCAGGGGAGGTTTGAAAAGGTCAAGACAGCAGCCGTACCCACACAATTATATGCCAACCCTTTTGCATGGACAGTGTGATACACATAAAAAGGGCCAGGGCTGCGATGGTCATGTATTTTGATGTTTTTAACTTTCTTTTCCTACCTCTTTACAAACCCCCAGGGCTCAGCATAGCTATTTAAATAATATATCAGAACCAAAAGAAATTATTGTCCTGCAACACCTAGCTATTCCACATCCCTTTCTGCAGTAATTCTCCTTCCACCTTTGGAACTCTTCTGCCTCTGAACCCATAGCATGGAAGGGAAGAGAGAATGCACTCAGTAATATGAGTTTCACATTTGGTATTGCCACCCAATACAGGTGTTGTGTCTGATAAGACCCTTCCTTCATTGATTTGGCTTGCTTTATACAAGTAGTCCTCACCTTAAGACCACAATTGAGCCCCAAATGCCCACGGCCAATCAAGACCATTGTTAAGTGACTTTTGCCCCATTTTACAACCTTTCTTGTCACTGTTGCTAAGTGAATCACTGCAATTGTGAAGTGTATCTGGCTGGCTTCCCCTTTGACTCTGCTTGTCAGAAGTTCACAAAAGGTGATCACATGACAATCCCCCCCCCCCCCCGGACACTGCCAGTGTCATAAACACATGACAGAAGTTTGGTCACATTTCATCATGGAGATGCTGTAATGGTCGTAAGTGAGAAAACCAGTCATAGGTCAGTTTTTTCCAGTGCTGTTTTAACTTCAAACGGTCATTAAATCAGGGATGGGATTCTACTGGTTCGAACTGGTTCAGGTGAACCAATACCTCCGATGATCAGCAAACCAGTTCGCTCCCACTATCAAGTGCCCCCCCCCCCGTGCTTTACTGACCTATATCTTCTTAGCTGAGTCTTATGGCAGAGTGGATTGCCATGCCTCAGTGTTTTCCTCCCCAGCAGTAATGCGGAAGGCAAGTTTTCTCAAAACTGCACACACAAGCGCGCAAAGCCTACGATCACCGAACCTGTTGTTAAACCAGTAGGATCTCACCACTGCACTAAACGGATGTTGCTAAATTGAGGACTACCTTTATTAGGCTTCTGCTAGAATTTGTCAAGCAGGAGAAAGAGGGAAGGACAGGGGTAAAAAAAGTCAGAGACAGAGAATGAACGAGATTGGGAATCTCTGTAGGAGAAGAAAGCCAGTGTGGCAGTAGCTTTAAGGCAGTGTTTCTCAACCTTGGCAACTTGAAGATGTCTGGACTTCAACTCCCAGAATTCCCCAGCCAGCCAATGCTGGCTGGGGAATTCTGGGAGTTGAAGTCCAGACATCTTCAAGTTGCCAAGGTTGAGAAACACTGCCTTAAAGCTACTGCCACACTGGCTTTCTTCTCCTACAGAGATTCCCAATCTCGTTCATTCTCTGTCTCTGACTTTTTTTACCCCTGTCCTTC